GGTGAATCTGATTCTGATCCAGATTTTGATGGTGATTCAGACTCTGGTGAAGATCTAGATTATGAGAATATTCCAGACTCTGAAGGTAGTCATGCCTCTGAAGGTGGTATTTCTAGGGTTCCAACATTTGATATTGTTCCAGCGTTCGAAGAAGATTCTGAACAAGTTCAGAGGCCACAAAGAATCAAAAATACCAATGAGATTTGTAAAGTTTGACATGTTACAAGATATTGAAGTAAACTTTGAAGGGGGAGTAATTTAGTGTGCCATGTTAGTAGACTCTAAACTGGTCAGTGTTAAAGAAGAACTGAAGAAGAAAGTGTGGTTGAAGGCCATGAGAGAAGAACTTGAGGCTATAGAAAGAAACAAGACTTGGAAGTTGTCTGAACTTCCAAAGAACAAGAAAGCCATCATCGTCAGATGAGTTTTCAAGGTGAAACTAAAGCCAGATAGATCAATAGGATAACACAAAGCGATGTTAGTAGCAAGAGTATTTCTACAGAAACCTGGGTTTGATTAATTTGAAGTGTTTGCTCTTGTAGCAAGACATGAGACAATCAGGCTAGTGATTGCGATAACTGCTAACATGAATTGATCTATGATGCACTTAGATGTGAAATCTTCCTTTCTGAGCGGTCTATTGTAAGAAGAGGTATACATGTCAGAATCTTCTGGATTTGAGAAAAAAAATCAGGAAGGGTTGGTGTACAAGTTACATAAGGTGTTGTATGGAATGAAACAAGCTCCTAGAGCTTGGAATGTGAAAATTGATTCATTTTTCAAGCGTTAAGGTTTCAGAAAGTGTGAGATGAAGTATGTCGTTAATGTTCAGCATACTTCTGAAGGAAATATGATTCTGGTGTGTCTGTATATTGATGACATATTGCTAACAGAGAGTTATGAACATGAGATAGCTAAGTTCAAGAAGGTGCTCATGAATGAGTTTAATATGATTAATCTAGGAAATATGACATACTTTTTAGGGATGAAGTTTATGTACTTTGAGAATGTATAATTTTTCATCAGCTGAAGTAGGAACTTGAGCTTCTAAAGAGATTTGAGCTACTGAATTGTAAGGTTGTCGTCACACCAGCTGAAACGAATCACAAGTTGGATTTTGATCTTGAGGGTGATGATGTTGATGCTACAAATTTCAAGCAATTGGTTGTCTCTTTGAGGTATTTGTGCAATACTATACGTGACATTTGTTATGCAGTTATCAACCTGTGAAGCTGAGTACATTTCAGGTGTTGTGGCTGCATGTCAAACTGTTTGGCTTCTGAATTTACTGCAGGATCTGAAAATCAAGGTAAACAAGCCTCTGAAGCTGATGATTGATAACAAGTATGCAATCAATCTTGCCAAAAATCCAGTGCTGCATGTGAGAAGCAAGCATATCGAGACAAAGTATCATTTTTTGAGAAGTTAAGTCCATAATGGAGTGTTAGAATTTGTGCACTGTAGCATCCAGAAACAACTGGTAGATGTTCCGACGAAGGCGATCAAGACTGATCAATTTCTCCACTTGAGGAATGAAATTTGTGTTGTTAGTTTTGATTAGCTGAATATGAATGAAAAGATGATGTTATAAGTAATTCATATTCAATAGTATTACTATTAGTTTTTGTTAAGTTTAACTTAGTTAATATAGGTTAACGTGTTGCCTACGTGTTAAGCTTAATTTCTTTGTTATTGTATTTTAACACTATTTTTATTATTTTAATACTATTATAATGATGTTTTATTGTGAATTGATCTATTTAACTATTTACTTATACATGTTATAAAAAACTTATTTTTTATTGAGATATTTATGCATTAATTTTGTTTAAAATCTCATACCATTAACTTTACGGGATATCAAATCCATACCTATGCATTACTTTCTTCATTTTGTTTTATAATTAATTTTTAATTTTTAAATCTAATAAACAATTGATATATCTGTTTATACATAATATAAATATATTATGGGTAATTTTATCTTGTGTCCTAGGGGCACATGTTGTAGAAATATTTTCTTGAAACTCGTGTATTGTTTTTATCAAAAGTTTATAATTAATTTTTTTATTACTTTTTCCAATACAAATACTCTATTTATGGATTTCTTAACACTTGCCTTTAGAGCATCTTTAATGAAAGTAAATTAAATGGGTAAACTAAGATACTCTTTGTGGGCCCAAAGTGATTTGTAGGATTTAAAATATTTATAGTTGATTTAAGTTATTTTTACTTTAATGATGATTGCTTGTAAAAAACCAAAACTTGACCCCCATTTTATAGTTGTCGGAGCTTTATTGATATTTTAATAATATAAAATAATAATAAAATAATAATAAGAGTCATTGAGAATGGATAGTGTGCGTTGGTTATATAGTTTACTCCCACTAATTGTTAGTTCACTTACTTCCATGTCATTCTTATTCCAATACAAATTGCTTATAACTAATGTTACTATTAAAGAATTTAATACTACAGAACCTGCACTAAAGATGCTCTTAGGGCACAGGTTAACATTACCCATATATTATTTATTGAATTATTTTAAAAGTTAAAATTTATTTATAGAAGAGAATAGATGGAGTATATATTAGGAAGAGTGTTTGCGGTGCGGTTTGAACAGTTTTGACACTAAAAGTCAACTGAATCGCAAGAGAAAAAATATACAGTTTGGTTTGGTTTGGTTCAGTTGACTTTTAGAAATAAAACTGAACCAAACCAAAACAATGCAATTTGATTCAATTCTTTATTAAATTTTTATTGAGCCATACATACATATAGATGACAAACTAATTTTGTATTTAGTCATTCATATACTACCAAATAACAACACAGGTCATCATATTTGGACAACCTCTTGTTTAATATGTAAAAATCAAATTATACAAAAGTTGAATGATAAACATAAAGCAATAGCATAAAACAATATAAAAAATATTAAAATAAAGAAAAAAAGAGGAGATGAGAGATTAGTGAAGATGAAAAAGAAAGAACAGAAGAGATGAGAGATTGTAGAAGAAGATGTGAGATAAAAACTAAATTAAAAGAGAGAATAATATCATAAAAATGAGAAGGTGAAAAAGAAAGAATATAAGAGATTAAATATTAGAGAATAAGAGGCGAGATGTATTTGCCGAAGAAGACACGATACTGCTAGGAGAGATTTGAAAAAGGTGAAACTGAAACTCTTAATGTGAGGAAGAAAAAAGCGTTCATAGTCATAAGATTAAAGTATTGGATGTGACTTAAGTGAAATTTGAGTTGTACATAATACAATTTGATTTGCAAAATAGAAACCACAAATCAAATCAAATCATACAATTTTGTTAAAACATAGTCCAAGCAAATCCAAATCAAATGATTTAATTCGGTTTAGTTTTAGATTTTCCATTGAATTAGTTCGATTTTAGCACCTCAATATATTAGAAATCATCATGTTACATGTTTTATTATAAAAAAAAACTCAAATTCAAAATTAAGGATCTGTTTAGTTCAATCAAGGAAAGGAGAAAAGAGAAATTTTTATCAAGGAGAGGGGAGAGAAGGGGAAGGGAGGGGAGGGATTTTAATTACATATATATTTGGTTCAAAATATGAAAGGGAAGGGGAGAGGAGACATTTTATTTACAAATATGTTTGGTTCACAAGGGAGGAGAGGTATTTTTAAAATTAATTTATTTTTTATCCTTCTACTTTTACTGTAAGATTTGTGATAGTTACCGCTTATAATTCAAATACAAATTTATTGACGAAATATAAATATTCAATCAGAGATTATTATGAAATATTTTAAACAAAAACATTATGATAATTGAAAATTATCATTAAAATATAAAAACTAAAATAAAAAAATTTAAACAAATATAATTATAGTAAGATGAAAATATAAAAATATAAAAAATATAGAAAGAAAGATTAAATTTTTTCAAAGTAAAACTTTTAACAATGTTATAAGTTAAATATATATTTAAATAAATAATAAAGATAAACATGTAAATATAAATATAATTAAAATTAAACACCTTTCCTCTCCTTCTCTCCAAATTCCTTTAAATCAGAGGAAAGAAAAAAGTGATTCAAAAGAGATTTTGATCTCTTCCATCTACCTCTTACAATTTAAACTAAATAAATAAATTATTAAATATTCTCTCCTCAAAATAAATTTTCTCCCTTAAATTCAGATTGAGTGCCAATTCTAGTGAATATCCACGTGAGTTTTATTAAATTTTATTGCCATTTATTTGAGTTCTCTTTTTTTGACCAAACAACAAAGGGAGGGGATTGCAAGGAAAAAGCATGATATGTCCAGAAGCAAAAAATAAAATAAAAAAAATAAAGTCGGTTCCCAATCTAAAATCAAGTGTTATTCTTCATCTTCTCATCTCACTTTCCTTCTCTCTCGATCGAAAAATCGTTTCTCAATTCCAATTCTCAATTCTTCATCTTCTTCTTCTTTCACAGGTAAACCAAACTAACTCACTCTTCTTTTCTCTTCATTTCCTTTCCCTTCTCTATCTATCATCGATCGTTTTCAGCTATGGTTGTAAAGAGGTTTTCGGCTATCTAATCTCTTATCTATCACTCCAATTCGATCTATGCATGCACGATCCTTATTCGCTTGCTTCTTCCATTTCCAATCTCTTTTTCTATTTCTCCATTTTCTACTTTTTCAACCATTCACTGTTTTATATTTGACTTCTAGAGGTTTATCTCAACATTTATCGATTCATTTTTTAAATTCCTTCAATTCTAACCTTATAACAAGATTTCGATCACCTAGCACGGAATCAATTCTTATGCTGATTATTTGGCCGTTCCATTTTGTGAATTTTGTTTTCTTCCTATTGAATTGACTGTGTGGATGTTTGTATTTTAAATTCTAGATTACTGATTCGATATTTGTAAAAATAATATTGTTGATTTGTTTTTGTTTGTTTTTTTGGGTTTGGATTTGTAGAAGGTTGATAATAAAGGATTTGACTCGTCGAAGGCTTAGAGTGATGGCTAATAACGCAGCTGCGTGTGCTGAGAGAGCAACCAGTGACTTGCTCATTGGTCCAGATTGGGCTATCAATATAGAGTTGTGTGATATCATTAACATGGACCCTAGGTATTGTGCTGCTCATTTTTTGTTTGTGATTGTTTAGACTAGAGTTCTCTGCTGCATATATTGTTTAGACATGATATAGTGATAAGATATTAAGGTGCTGTTGAACCAATGAAGCCAACTCCACCTATTGGAGAAAGACACTGATTGTTGTATCATATTCAACTAACAACAATGTAACTTGAATGCAAATAGAGTAAAGTCAGTAGTAAATGGGAATTTTAATTCTATCAGTTTTGATGATATGGGCATAATATTGTTGCATTCACAAATAGGGAGACCAAAAACCAAAATTTTATGACAATGTGGGGACTAGAAGTAAACTGAATCCATTTTTTAATTTGTTCTTTCTTGCTTTGTAGTTTTGGATCTCAAGTATGTTTTATGGGATTTTTATCATGGATATTCAATCATCAAAATTTTCCTGATCTTCTCTGCTGGGCTAATTATATTTGCAGGCAAGCAAAGGATGCATTGAAGATACTTAAGAAGCGCTTAGGCAGTAAAAATCCCAAAACACAGCTGCTGGCTCTTTTTGTGAGTGTTATATTCTTTTAACCTTGGATAATTGTTGAATATTTCATATTTTTTTTTTAGAGTATTTCATCTACTTGGATATAATAGGTTAAAGAGTAATAATAGAAACACACACTCTTTCAAGTCTTTACTTTTTTTCCATATTCTCCGTGTTGCATTTCAAGCTACCTGTTACTTAGCTAAATTTGGTATTTTGTCTTGTTCTGATTTTGTTTGGTTTGGATCGATGAAACCCCTCTTTGTATTTCTGCAGTTGTGGCACTTATTATCACCACCTTCTGATTAACAAAATCAGACATCTCAAAAGAAAAAAAATAGAAACACAAAATCTTTAACACACTTTCTATCATTTATTCATTCTCTTCAAAGTCGGCTCACTCTTTTAAAGAGTGATCTTTTCACGAGGCAACTAAATGAATTTTTTTGAGAATAAACCAATAATAAAGGGTGCATTACTAGCAATACTTGGGTTAAACCATGTGATATTGTTTCTACATTTTCATATTGTAAGCTATTTAGAAAGCCTCATAGTCATACTTTTTATTGTTCCATGGTTAATAAATAATATTAGGTGAATTTGCTGGAGGTAATGAAAAGTAGTGATTACCTGACATGGATACTCCATATTTAATGTAGGTACTGGAGACTCTTACTAAAAATTGTGGCGAAAGTGTATTTCAGCAGATCATTGAGCGTGATATATTGCACGAAATGGTTAAGATAGTGAAGAAGAAGGTATTTATTGATTTTTGACACTGGATATTTATATTTCACCAATGCCTTTCTGTAACTAAATTTTGGAAGTAGAAGACTTTCTTAATCATGGCTACAATATTTTAACCTGATTGTACAGCCGGATTTAAGTGTGAGAGAAAAGATACTGATTTTAATTGATGCATGGCAAGAAGCTTTTGGAGGCCCAAGTGGAGTTTTTCCCCAATACTATGCAGCATATAACGAACTAAAGGTGACGTCTCATGTATAGACATCAGTTTATTTTCTAATATTACTCTATACTTTACAACTTATAAACACTGATCAGATTTTTAAATGATTTGCACTAACATTTCTATTGGTCTATATACATACTGTGATAAATGTTGCTTCTGTTTACTTACCAGTCATGTCAATGCTTTCTGCCTGTCTGGAGCAGATTTTTGTATTTGTTGCATTGCATTTATACATGACCAACTTAGCCTTGTGGTCATCAGTGTATTTTTCTGGAATTTTTAATAAGCTGGTTAATGGTTACATTGTTGTACAAGCTGCATACAGCTGCGTATTTGCATTATTAATTTTTTGGTAAACAACGATCAAACATTCACTTCAAACACAATATATAAAAAAAAATTTAGCTCACAACTGACATCTAATTGAGTTGTTGCTTTTTGGATTAAAAGGCGGCTGGAGTTGAATTTCCACCAAGACAAGAAAATAGCGTGCCATTCTTCACACCTCCTCAGACTCAGCCGATTATTCATTCTGCTGCAGAATTTGATGATGCTGCTATTCAGGCTTCTCTTCAATCAGATGCATCTGATCTTAGGTGCTTTTTGAACAACATCACACACCTGTTCAAATTCTTGTGTTTTTTGTGTGGGGATAATGGTGTTATACTTGTTTCATTATCTAAGATATTATCAGGGTATTTAAGAACCCCTGTTTTATAAAACTCGATTATACACAACACTGACAAATTCTACAATTTCTTTGCATGCTCATACATCACGATGAGAATCCTGTAAACTGTTGATTTTTATATTTTCCATTTACATGTTTGTGTACATCTTCCCTACTTTGCAACAGTAGTTTTTCCAAATTGTTGTTTTTAATTTTTTTCATTTACTGTGAGCCTATTACTCAGTTTCCACAGCAGTTACAACCTACTTGTTTACTTACCTATCTGTAGTCGTTATCATATCTTTAGAATTCTATCGGACGTTGTTTACAATTATGAATTCCTTTGCCAGTACTTTTTTCCTTGAAAAATTGGAATTTCTCACACTTGTCTATGTTTCATTTCCTCCATCACCAAGTGTCTTGAAATGGTAGACTGAGATTTTGGAGCAAAGCTTTTTTTAAAATAAGTTCAAAGTGGGATCTAACCTGAAAATGTTCATCATATTAATTCCTTAGGCATGTGATGGTGGTGGATGCCTTTTTTTCCTTTCTTCCTTTCTTCCTTTCTTTCTTTCTTTCTTTCTTTCTTTCTTTGGGTTCATGGGGGTGGGGGAAGAAGATCTGCATCTGTATTTTGGAACTCCCTTGAGCTAATGTTCTTTGTTTTTTTTTCCAGTTTGTTTTTTGTACATTCTTCTTCCTTCCGTCAAAGTTATTGCTTTATAAAAAAGATCCACTGGTTTTACTTTATCTCTTTCTCTTACTAATTTTGTTTATTATCAGTGTATTAGAGATTAAAAATGCTCAAGGGCTAGCTGATGTTTTGACAGAAATGCTCAGTGCCTTGAATCCGAAAGACCCCGAGGTGATATCATTTATCATTTTTTCATTGTAGTTCAACTTTTGTTCAACCTGTTACTTTGCTCTGGTTTTCTTGTTTATGGCAAATATGTTTGAACTTTGAATTTGCTTATTTTGACTACCATGTTTTCAGTTCTGCTAGTTGATGGGTCGTGCATCATAGAATTTTGGATCGGGGATTTATCCCATTTTCGCAAAATGATAAGAAGCTGTTGGTGTGAGATTGGAAAGATTTTAGTTAAGAGTTTAAGAATTATGCCTCTTTTCTTTGCTGGCTTTGCAGAATTGTATCTTTTTGGGGAGATTCCATTAAGTTTCTTGATAGACATGCCTTTAGTTAGGGGTTAGGAGGTGAGGTTTATAATGAGGCAGAATCAGTTGGCAGTTAGTGAGTAACTCGGAAATTGCTAGGAGAGGTTAGGCGCTCTTGAATATGCAGAGTTCACAATATGAAGTTCTCTAATAAAATTATGTTCCATCAATCTTTCCCTTAATGCCAGTTGGCTCCTACACGTGAAGGAGTTACCTAATAAAATTCTGTTCATTCAAACTTTCCCTTAATATCAGTTGGGGCAGTAAGGTCTAGAACATATAGGATCTATGAAAACATTAGTTGCAAAATGCAGGACTGAGATATAGATAGATAGTACAGACATGATGCTTTTCTTTACTTCGATATTCATTGTTTTTGTTCAGTACAAATCTATTGCTTTAAGTTGCGGTTTCTTATCATTCTGGACAAAATATGTCAGGGCCTGAAGGAGGAAGTGATTGTTGATCTTGTTGACCAATGCCGTTCTTACCAGAAACGGGTCATGCTTCTTGTGAGCAATACTCTGTAAGTTCTTAATGACTAAACTATATTCTTTATATAGTTAAGAACAACATTAATCGTTACTTGGCTTGCTTTAACTTTAGGGACGAGGAGCTTTTAGGTCTGGGATTAGCACTGAATGACAGCCTTCAGCGAGTACTCCGTCAACACGACGACATTGCAAAAGGAACTGCTAATTCAGGTGCAAGAGAAGTAGAAACTCCAGTTCTGCCGCTTGTAAATGTAAACCATGAAGATGATGACTCAGAAGATGATTTTGGTCAATTAGCCCATAGGTGAACCCAATAGTTCTCGTGTTATATAAACCCATTGATAGCTGCTTCATCTTTCTCTTTCTTCATACTTTTGTTGTAGTTGTAATCTTTTTTTTGGGATAGTAGTCATATTGATTTAAATTTAAATACTGTAATTTCAGGTCTTCACGGGATACTCATGCACAGAATCGGAAACCAGTCTATGACAAGCCAGAGTCAGTGAGAATGAACTCACTTATTCCCCCACCACCAGCATCGAAGAGGCCAGTCTACTCTGGTACTGGCATGGTTGACTATCTTAGTGGTGATACATACAAGGCAGAAGGATCCGTTGAAAACGCTGAACCAACTTCATTTGCAGCTCCTCATCATTCTATCCCTAACCCTACCTCATCAACTATTCCAACAGAGTCTTCACCCCATCCTCATGTGACTACTACCTCATCACCAATTTTTAGCAAACAGCCTACATATGACGAGCCGAAGTCTTCAGAACAGTTGCCTCCAGCTCCCTGGGATACACAAGCTCCTGTTGTCATTCCACCCCCACCTTCAAAGTATAATCAGAGACAACAGTTTTTTGAGAAAAAAGGTTCATCTCATTCGAGCAATGGATCAAGTTCGTCTAGTGACAGCTTGGTGGGACAAACTCAAAATCTGTCTCTGAATTCATCCACCCCAACCAAAGAACAGAAGCCAGAAGATGCACTTTTCAAAGATCTAGTTGATTTTGCAAAATCAAAAACCTCTTCATCTTCTAAACCCAATAGGTTATATTGAGATAAATATATTGTTCATATTGCTTGTGTTGGAGTTTATAAATTATGAATGTTCATCTGGCTTTAGCTTGAGGCGTACATTCTATGGTTGTGCTTAGAAACATTCAGACATGCCCATGTGTGTTAGATATACTGCATATACCCATATGTATATGGTTCACATTTATTTTATTGACTTGTGTTTTCAATAATATCAGATCTCTTTTTAGCGTCAGAGTTTTCTTCAAATAATCTAGTTGCAAAAAAGGAGTAGAGGGTTATCATGTGCAATTTTATGCTCTTGCATAGCTCCACCATGTGCAGTTTCAAGCTCTTACATAGCTCCATCATGTGCAGTTTTAAGCTCTTGCATAGCTCTATCATGGTCCAGCTACTCAAATGCACTTGATCAGCAAATTAGAACAATATTTTATTTATTTAATTTGTTAATTGAAGTTGAATACTTGTGTCCCATGTCTCCATGGTTTTTTTACCGGATTTTTAAAAAATGACAAATTTGAATTACTGGACTTTTCAAAATCTTATGAGTCCGTCTTTGCTAGATTTTTTTTAAATATATTATTGGATTTTTCATGAAAGAATGAGTTTTTATTAAAATTTTCAAAAGGTTTGAGTTTTTGTCGAATTTTTTAAAGAATCTACGAGTTTTTATTAAAATTTAAAAAAATGAATTTTTATCGAGATTTTTTTAAAAGTGAGTTATACTGGTTTTTTCAAAAAATCTATAAGCTTTTTACCAGACTTCTTAAAATGTATTACCGAAATTTTCAAAACATTATGATGATTTTTCAAAATATTGATGGCATACCACTTTTAATAGTTGGAAAGGAAAGAAAAATGAGTCACAACTGTATTCTTGAAGTAACAATAATATTACAGTTTCTGCAAGATTCTATTACGATATAAGACAAGTTAGTTTGCCAATTAAGTATATATCATTGCCATCAACTCTGCATTGCAAAATAAGTAATTTGTTTGAATTTTGCCATGCAACAGTCTTACAACAACGTTATAGTACTGCTGTAGCTATTTTACAACACTGGTATACATACACCATTATTATTGTTGTATAGATGCCATAAATATGCATGGTTATTGCTGAATTACAATACATGTGAATGTAAATATTAACTCATAAATCTGGAGAATGATTAACTTGAGCTGAACAGAATTGTGTGGCAGAATCTGTACTTTATTTTTCCAAACATAGACATGAACATTCTCCTCTTGATACTTCCTCTAACAGGAGGAAATGAACTAAATTTTCTGAAGCTCTTGTCTGTTGCTGACTTATTTGGGGGCACCATTTCCATTCCCGTTTTCTTTTCCATGAAGATCGAGATCCAATGAGTTTATTGTTGCTAGATATGATGAGTAGTGGGATTCTTTTCATTCATTTTATATAGGAAAGTAAGGTGTGTGTGTGAAGTATATAGTTAAGAGTAGGAACCTTCGTGTGTTCGTGCCATTGTCACAAAAAGTTTGCCATTAGTTCCTTCCTTTAAACACCTGAGGACAATATTGCTAGGTTCATGCAAACCCAACTATTTTCCGTACTATATCTATTGCTGAGGAGCGTGAGGGTTTTATGGTAATTTGACCGAGTCCATAGTAATGCTAGAGTCATTTTCTCTTAGATTAGCAACACAAATCAATTCAAATATAGTTTCAAATTCATACATAATTCGAAATTAAAATTTTATTCGAAAATTAATTTGTTAAATTAGGTTCATAAATTAAACGAGTTGAATATGAAAGAAAAAAAAATATTAAATTTATTAATTAAATTAGTTGAATTTAAATTATGTATAATACGGTTTTATATATCCATGAGTTAATTCGATTATATACAAGAAGAATTATATTAGCTCTAAGAGTAGATTTAAATACTTATTTTAAATATTTTTCTTCTATTTTTTTTAATCTAACGGTCATTTATATTCTCAAGTAAATAAAATATTTTTAAAAATAATTACACAAATAAAACCAACACAATTTAAAATAATTATATATAATAATTAAATATTAAACATCATTATTTAATAAAAAGATAATGCTAACATGTGTCCTAAAAGCACATATTAAGATTTAAGTGTAAAAACGTTTTTTTGAAAATTGTACATTGATTTTATTAAAAGTTGATAATTAAATTTTTTTTATTGTGTTTTTCAATATAACCTTTCTATTAAAAATTCTTATATCAAATAAAAATGTCAAGGATATTTAAGAAAAAGTAAAATTCTAATCTTATAATATTTATTTTATTTAAAAAATTTCTTTTCTTAAAAAATGTTAATTTAAAATATCATATATATATATATATATATATATATATATATATATATATATATATATATATATATATATATATATATATATATATATATATATATATATATATATATATATATATATATATATATATATATATATATATATATATATATATATATATATATATATATATATATATATATATATATATATATATATATATATATATATATATAATCAGGATCAAATGACACTAATGTGTCAAATTTATTAACATGAAACTTATGATAATTCTTCATCCTAGGTCCGTATAACAAAATTCACTGTTGGATTGAAAACTATTATTATGTTGATCACGCCTATAAAATGTCGTATTAATAAAAAAATCATTTGATATATTAAAGAAAATAATAAAAAAAATAACGATTTTCGTGAAGTTTTGTAAGACGTTCGATTTTATGTATCTTGTTGGCATGTCAAATAATTTTTTATTGATATTAAAATGTATAGACATGATCTATATGATAATAACTTTCAATTTAATGGTGAACTTTGTTAATGAATATGCGGTAAAGAATTATCAAAGGTGTCACGATATAATAATAATAATAATAATAATAATAATAATAATAATAATAATAATAATAATAATAATAATAATAATAATAATAAAAATAAAATAATAATAATAATAAATTTTAAAAAATGGCTTTTAAGACCGTGGATACATAGGGATGACAGAAAAACTCGTACTCGCAGATATCCGTGGATAAAATCCATTATGGATATGGAGCAGATAACTTAATAAATATTCGAGGATTAATTGGATATTTAAATACCTGTTTTTTAATGTATACACATGTGAGTTTAATAATATCCGTGCCCACAAATATCCGCATTTGTTAATAAATTATAAAAATTATTTAAATATCACTAGTTTATTATACTTTGTGTTTTCACCTTCTAAAAATATTAGTCTTCTCCTTTTTATTTAAGTTTTCTTTGAAGAAAACCTTTCACATTTCATACAAATTCTATTTGGTCATTTCATATTTAAGCTTTTTTTATACTTCATAGTTCACTTCAACAATTTCATCGTTCAACCAACTAGCACCACCTTTCTCTATCCAACCAGTGCGTCCTTTGCTACTCCTTCATCGTCCTCTCTTCCACCATAACTTACAATCACAACATCTTTCATTTTTTTGATTGAAAATGAAATGTATGGATATTATTGTCGCACCTCGAAAAATGAGAACACGGCGCTCAAGAAGCGCAATCGCACGCTTGCGGGATGGACCGAACAATCGCCACTGAACTTTACTTATTTCCCAAAGACGAGAAAGAGAAAATATCGATAAAATTCCTAAAAGAAAAACATTGATAATGATCGTCGCAACCAAATCAGGATTCGAGAGTCGATTACATAAGGGAAAGGTATTAACACCTCTCACGTCCATTGTACTCAATGGGAACCATTTGATTAGTTGTGTGTGCTAGCGTTAGTTTAAAAATTTTAGGCTTCTCAAGTTATTAAGGGAAAGAAAAGAACAAAAGAGTTTGTTTATTATTAGGGTTCCTGCCCGACGAGACTTTGAATCTCGTTCCTACGTATCTCCGAGTGCGATGGAGAACTCAAGGATATGTAGTTCTGGGTAGAAAATGTTTCTTTGTTGGTCAATTTTTGCGAAAGAGATTTTGTCTCAATCAACGGAAAAACATTGCTTGTTACCCCAAAACAAGTGAAGAAGATAATGTTTACATCACAGCAGAATAAACTTACAAATCAACATTCACAGGAAATATCGCTAGCTTATTCACATATTCAAGTGGACGAAGCATTGTTTTTGCATTGTCTCGAGACAAAATAGCTTTCGTTTGTGAAAATGGTTTGAAGGTCATCACGCGGCGGCGAGAAAAAAAGTTTGATTGGTTTGATGTATTTTGAGTGATGGCGAGAACATGGATGTGTGAGATATCTGTCTCGAATCCTTGTCTCAGGAGCTTGTGGTATCCATAAGGGTGGAAATAGGCTGGGCCGAGCTAGACTTTGCCAAGCCTGAGCCTGGTCTGCTAAAAAATTCATAGCCTAAGTCTGACCTGTAGCCTATCATAGACTTATTTTTAGGCTTAAGCATGGCCTTTTTGAAGGCCTGATTGGCCTACTAGCCTATTTAAAAGCCTACTTCATTTGAACGTTTGTAAATAATAAATTCAACTAATATTAAATAGACTAACAAATTAAAAGATCATTGAGACTAAACGTTTGTTTTTATTGTCTCATTCAAGTTTACCTATTAGCATAAGTTTGGTGATACTATTTGTTAGAGAGAACTTATGGAAAAAAAACTTATGACATTGTTTATAATATTTTTTCAACTTATTTCATAATTTGTTCAAAATAACTAAGTTTTATTTTCGTATTTTAATTCAAAGTACAAAATACAATATAATAATAATAAATTTAATAAGTTTATTATAAATAGGCCGACCCGATAGGCTTAAAAGGCTTTTCCTATGGCCTGTGGCCTAGCCTCTTTAGTTAAATAGGCTTATAAAAAAGCTTAGGCCTTTTCTATTTAAGAAAAAGCCTGGCCTGGTCTGGACCTATTCCCACGTTTCTTTTCCATCTTATTTGCAAAAAGGTTTTGATATTTTTAGATTATTTTATGTGTGATTGAGAAAAGGTTTGCAAACGTCGCGTTGAAATATTTGAGTGATGGTGAG